ACCCTGGGATCATGACAGGAGACAAAGGCAGACGCTTAACCGACTGAGCCACCCAGGTGCCCCTTTCCTTTGCATTCACATCTTGGCTAACTGCTTCAAGAGGCCTAGCTTTTGGCTTATCTCAGCTTCTGCTGTGTCTTCCTCACTAAGCTTAGTCATTTCTGACTTTCAATTTAAAGTGAGAGACCTGTGACTCTTCCTTTCACTTGACCACTTACAAGGCACTGTAGGGTTATTAATTGACCTAATTCCAATATTGCGTCTCTGGGAAGAGGGAGGCCGGAAGAGAGGGACTAGCAATCTGATAAGTGGCCACTCCCCACTGCTTTGCCCTCAAGTCACCTTTCCTTGTTTCTGTTGTCACTTACTCAGTCCTGGGCTTTCCCCTTGTGTCCCCCAGGTGCTGAGGTAAAGCTGGGCGCATGCGGTGGCCAAAACAAAGTTACCCAGAGTGTACTCCTTCAAAACCAGTACTGTGAGATGCAAATAAATGTTACATTTTAAAAGAGAGAGAAAGAGGGAGGAATGGGAAAAAAAGAAAGGGAGGAAGAGAGAAAGAAAGAAAAACAAAGAAGAGGTGGGGAGAGAAAGTTTGGCTAATACTGGTTTACATAAAGCTCCCCATACCACAGGTCTTCAGAGTTCTTGTATAGTGCTTCTCTAACAAGGGACCTAATGGCCATGTTCCTGAGGCTGGCAGACCAAGGAAGCCTTTTTTTTCCACAGATTATCACTCAAATACGCGGGAAAATGTAGCTATGGTGCTGTGGGTACATGTGGGGATGAGGGAGTGGGCAGAGAGCTATGGAAAGAGAAGTGTGGTCAGGGTTGTGGAGGCCAGTCAGGAACTGTCTCTGTCTCAAAGAAACTTTCCAGAAGATTCTTATATACCACTTTTCTCCTCCCCACCCTCTTCAATTAAAAATCTCTGGTGATTCCAAAAACTCCATGTGCACAAGAATCTTCCAAGAGCTTTTTGATGCACAGGCACAGGCTATACTCAAGAGATTTAGGATATCCAGGGTGAATACAATAATTACATTCAAAACTTGCCTCCCAGTTGCTTCCAAGATGTATGGCCTCATTCTAAGAACCAGTGCCCCAGAAGGTATGAAGGGCAGCAGATGTCGTGTTGTCTAAACTTGGTCATAAATGCTAAGAAATGAGCTCATGACTCAGAAATGACACAGATTAAGTCATAAGATCTAATCAGGCTTTGAGGCAAATAAAAAAATCAATTCTTTTAAAGCTGATTTAAAATTTTTTCTTTTCAAAATTTCAGTTCCAAAGAAAAGAATTCCTCTTAAATGTCAACTGTGTCCAGTGACTTTGATAGGCTACAGGGCATTAAAAACTGAGTAACCCTCAGTTCCAGCTGCAAGAGGCTTATATTCAGATAATATAATATTATATTATACAGATATAATCTATGTATATATATTATATATATATATATAAACTAATACAAGTTACAGTATGAGGAGTGTTGTAGGAGAAGAAAAATGCTGTCTGTGTTTAAAGGAGAAAGAAATCATTACTGAATGAGATAATCTAACCAATGAGGCTGACAATAATTCCAGGTAAATCTTATTTTAATAGCATTTTATTTTATTAATATGTATAAGACTATACATTTTCAAACATGATACAATGCTTTAGCTACTATTTACTGATAGTTTATGTTGACAGTTATAAAATTAGTTATAATAAATGCCCAAACTCCAGGACATGCTACTTCCCACTTCAGTGATGTTCTCTTCTTTTTTTTTTTTTTTAAGATTTTATTTATTTGATAGAGAGAAAGCATGAGCAGGGGGGAGGGGCAGAGGGAGAAGCAGGCTCCCAGGGAGTCTGATGCCAACTGGATCCCAGAACCCTGGGATCATGACCTGAGCCAAAGGCAGATGCTTAACTGACTGAGCCACCCAGGCACCCCCCAGTGATGCTTTCTTTAATAGCACACACAGGAGGGGAACATCTAGACTCTGAACCAATCACCTGGCCATCACTCTCCGTCTTCCCACATGGCAGCAAAGATCTTAGAAATCTATTCTTAAATGCTTCAGAGCTTATTTCCAGGTAAAAGTGAAGGCCAAAGTGGGGGGGAAACATTACAAAAGAATTTTAAAAATCCTAGTTTTCCTTGCCAATATATGACTGAAAGGCAGTCTCCTAGGACTGTGCTATTCCAAGAAAAGAGAAGCCATTTTGTGTGATTGTATCAACTTCCTGCTCAGAATTTCCCCACTGAGCAGCTAGGTGAACGACGCCCTGCAAACAGGCAACAATCACTACTCAGAAATACTCTGAATGGGCAGAAATTCATTCATATGAGTTCACTCTGGCTTCTCATAATCAGTGTTCTGGTGACAGCACTTGCCAAGTACACTTAGCAAAATATCACACATCACCTTTCCATCTTGACTTCTTCGCATATTATTGTTTTTCAGTAAAACAAACAGCTTCCAGTAACTCTGCAAATAAAATATTTTAAAAGATCCATCTGAAAAAAAAAAAAAAGACCCACTTGCATTCCCTTCTTGATGATATGCAAAGTAAGGAAATTTATTTTTTTATTCCTGTGGAGGAAATTTTACTCACCAGCTAGGACTGGCTAAGTGGGCAGATGTAATGGGAACAGACTTGAAATAGAGGGGATTTAGGTTGTTACACATAAAATTCCACTATTATGCACATCCAAGTTTCATCAGAACTGTAGGGATGGTTGCAAAGTAAATTTAAGATTTCCATATTTTTGAATATGGAAAGAATTACAAAGATACCACAAAGTAACAGGGCCTAAGAGGATGGACAGAATTTTGAGAGATGAAAGAAGCACATTCCCGGAGGCTCCAAAGTAGCAGAGGCAAAGAACCGGCTGGCATTCCTTACAGGAACAGCCTGAATCTGTGTGGCTGGCACAAGGGTACCTCCTGTGGTGCCCGGTGAGAACCACCGAAGGCAGATGGGACAAGTCACAGGGGGATGGAACGTCCTGCATCCAAGAGTAGTTAGGACTTTCTTAGAAAACCAAAAAACACCACTGCAAATCTGAGACTGGGGAAAAAAGATCTGTTAAATGAAACTGGTCTTAAATAATGTGTTAACAATGTTTCTGTAGTTTGGGACTTTCTCCTACTCTTTCTCATTCCAGCGTGACATTTCTTTCTCTGGGATGTTAAAATCAAAACCAAATGGAGACCAGCCTTGAAAATTCTGAGCTGACCAAGCCAGTTTTGTCATACAAACAAAGCTTAATTTAGCTTATTTTGCAAGGCTAACTTGACCTTGGGTCGTCTCTTGCTTATGCCTCTAAAAATCATAAGCAAAACTTAAACTGTTTCCCAATGTGGATATTAGGTAACTATGGACCAAGTCCCAAACATTTAATTGTAATACTATAACCAATCACTGTGAAGAATAAATGGTCACTGCTTTCTCACCACATAGGCTGCTTTACCACAATATACTCTGAGCCTCATTCCATGTTTTGGTTTGAGTGCGCCTGGTGTACAAACTGTCTTTTTGGTGCTTGCCCAATAAAATTTCACTAATTACTGTTTTGGTCATTCACTTGTTCATTTCTGAACTTTTGACAGAGATAAGTATTTGGGCTCACAATAATTTCAAGTCCACATATATGAAGGATGTGGCATAATCACTGCTGTAGTCACCCACAAGGCCCCACCTCCCCTCCTGAGAGCCCCGGGCTTGTTGGTCACCCTGGAAAGCACCGCACGGGAAGCTCAAGAGCTCACCTCAGCTTCTGAGGCCCTGGCCCACACCTTCCTCTGCTTCCTTTCTGGGTTTACCTGTGCACCAGCTTTCCCTCCATCCACACCCAGAATGCATACTGACAGAGCGCGGACACCAGGCTGCCTGCTTCAGTAGATGGCCTCAGCCCGCTGCATGATGACTGGCATGTAATAAGCACCCCGTGAAAGGCCCTCTGCATGATGACTGGCATGTAATAGGCACTCCAGTGAAAGTTTGTGGAGGAAATATGTATTTATATCACAACCATTATGAAAGAAAAATGATACTATGTAATCCCTCTTTACTTCCTTAAAAGTGAAGTATGAGGCAAAAGAGTTATGAGGTGACAGCAAGGCAGAGCCTGCTGGGCCTCCTCAGGCAGCCCAGCGGGGCTGGTCCCTGCAGCAAGCTGATGGCCCCGAACAGGGTCACTTCTGCTGCAAGCCTGGCCGTGGCTCTACCTCACTCTGTAAGGCACAGGCTCTCAACAGAGACACGTGGTAGCAGCTTCTCTGTTCCTTGCTCACTACCTTCCTTCCTGCCCTGGGTGCCCTGCACTCTTGTCTGCCGCCTCTGACCTCACTGTGCCCTGGGATTTTCACATTTCCCAATCATACTGGACTTCCCTACCTTGGGGCGTCTCATGACCTCTATATTGGCTGAGGTTTTTTCCTCCATTTTTCCCTAGTGCCCTCCTTTCCGCATCTAAGTAGCCAGGCACCTGAGTGCCCAGAGCTGATTTGGGAGCCGGCCTAGGGAAGGTCCGACTGAATAGCCACCTCAACCTGCTCAAAATCGCGGGTTCCTCAACCATTCCCTGAGGCCAGCTTGAAGGGGGAAACAAAGGGGCATTCCTGAGCCTGTTCAGGCTGCGTCTGTGTGTTCAGGCAGTGCTCACTGAATTCTCAAAAACCCAGGAAGACCCAGAATGAAAATGAGGCGCTGACAGGTACAGAACCCGTGCACTATGCCTGGGCCGGCTGAGGCTGAACCCCACGGGTTTCGGCTGCTCCACCAGCCTACTGAAAAGACCTTCACCCGAGAAGGGACACATCACGCCCGTTCCTTTGCGAGATGGGGGTTTTTGCTACTTAAGTCTCAACAATGCTAAATCTAATAAACTCTTTACCTCTTTTCCTGAGAACCGGTTATCTGCAGAGATGGTCTGTCCTCTGCTCTGCTTAATTCCGCCTTCCTAAAACCCTCATCAGAGCAAAGTACTGCCTGGGAAGGGGACTGCTTACCAGCGCTCCGGGAGGCGTTGGGAGCCAGGCCGGCCTTGGCCGCTGGGAGGAAAAGCCACGACTTGGGTTCTTGGTCCGTGGCACGTGCTCCCCTGCCACCCCGGGGCCTCCCCTGGGCCCCGGGCAGGGACAAAGCCAGAGCAAGCACGAGGAGCGCGGGCAGCGGGGCGCCTGTCTTAGCTGGCCGCATGTCTGCACACACGGAGGGCCGCGCAGGAGGCTCCCAGGGGCTGGTCCCGAGGCAGCTGTGTGTGCCGGGACTGGGGGGTCCGAGAGCCAGGAGAAGGGCTGTGGGGAGGTGTCCCCGCGGCGTCCGGCTGGAACAGTGCCGGGACTTAGCCGGCGTAGGTTGATACCTGCGTGCCTCGGTGTCTCTGGGCGGGGACGCGGGGCGGAGCGGCTGCTGGGGACTGCAGGGTTGTCCCAGGGCACAAAGGCGAGTCCGAGCGCACCGGACTCCCCGGCACACACGAACCTCGGGATCAGCAGGTCCTCGGGGCTCCCTACGGAATGCCCCTCCGGGGCCGGGACACTGGGTCTTGGTTCAGTCCCTGAGGGTCAACAGAACCCGAAACTTCTAGGTCGGGACGGAAGAAAGCAGAGCCGGGACTCGGGCCATGGTGTGCGGAGACGGCGATCCCGGGGGAAGGTACAGAGCTCACTTTCTCCAGCCTGAATCCCGCTGCGTTTGGAGGTGCTGGCCGGCGCGACCAAGCCGCGAGCAGGAGGCTCAACCTGCCTGGAGGGCGGCTCCGCCCCGGCGCGATGGTGCCTTCTCCTCGCAGCAAGGGCGGAGCTGAGGACCCAGGAGGTCAAAGCTGGGCCCGCCGACCACCCACGCCCAGCTTCCCCGGCTCTCTGCTGGGGTTGCTCGGATTCCCCAGGCTGAGTCCTACTACAGATGAAGTCATCGAGGTTTACCCGTGCGCCCAAAACCGCAGAGGGCTAGATTTTCTTTTCTTTTTTTGTTTTGACATAAAAATATTTTTATTGACATAAAAATCTCCAGATATTTTGTGGATGCTAACAACAGAAAAATGAGATTAAGTCCACTTCTTCTGATTAAAATAAAATGGGCATCTCTGGATCAAATTGTGCTGTGTAAATTACTGTGATTTTAGTTATTTCATTAGCTCGATTTATTACCTTATATTAAGTATATTGAGAAATGTTTAAGTTACTCCCTAATCAATTGACTGCTAATTATCTTTTCAGATGCAATGTGGCAAATAGAAAGAGACAACTCAGAGGGAATAACCACATGAGGCACCGTCCAACGTTAAATTCTCCTACAAAGATATCTTGTTAGTCACAAACCCTGAAAAATAACCCCAATGCGTTCAAATAATTTTTCTAGATTTGGTATTTCCAACCTGTCCCGGGGAACTGGGGAAACATAAGCAAGCTTTTCAAGAGCCCTATAAAAATCATGCTAAATGAAACTTTATATAGAGAAAGATACTGTTGAAGACTGCCGCTTCCAATCTCTATACTATTAAGCATAAGAATCTGGCAGATGAGAATGACTTCCACCATAAGAGACACAGAAAAGCGATCGTAGAAAAATTACGTTAAAAGAGTCTCAGAAGACCCTAGATAGGTAGAATAAGTTCTTCTTACAGCTTTACTCAAGTGAAATAAGAAAACATAGGAAGTCTATGGACATTGACAAGCATTTCAAAAATTTACTTTAATTAGAAATATAGTAAGTTAGCAGCCACTGTGAAAAACAACTGGGAAGATACAAGGTGAAATAATGCTGGTAAGAAGTGATACAGAAGTAACAATGAGAAATGAACTCCAAATCAACTATCAGGGGAAGGAGAAAAAAAAAAAAAAGCCGAGAAGCTTAATTATTTCCCTTTCCATACACTGAAACTAGAGGAAGTAATCGATCTGATGAACTTTTCAGGGCCTGACAGTTTGAGCTCTACTGTTTGCTCAGTCATTAGCCATATGTTGAGCAAACTATTTAGCCTCCATTTTTCTCTCTGATAAAGTGAAAAGATTGAATTTCTGTGGTCCTCAGGCTGTGTGTAGCATGTGAAAGAAGCATCTGGTGTGTGTCTGTGAAGAATGCAGATTCTGATACTCCCAGGGATCGAAGTTCCACCTAGGAGGTACCCAATGAATCTGCCTTTTAAAGGACTGTGGGTAGTTTTGAAGTAACTGGTCCTTGAAACCCTCTTTTATTCATTCAACAAAAATTATCTGAATGAAAACCAGAGGCCAGGCACAGTGGGAACACTGAACCTCAAGAGTGGGCAAAATTGACAAGATCTTTTTCTTGTTAAACATCTAGCCTCAGGGATCTGGTTCCCCAACATAATGATTTCATCATAAATAATCAAGTTGTATATAGCTAAATAACCATTTGTTTTTTCTTCTTTGTTTTGTTTATTGTTTATCCTTGACTACTTATTGTCCCAAGTAAATGCTACTGGCCGTACCTCCTTGTAATTAGTTCAGAAGCACCTTTAACTGTTCATGTAGATACAATCTCAGTAATACATGCTAACTTATTTTTTAATAGACTCTTAAGACCATTTTCAAATTCACAGCAAAATTGAGAAGAAGATACACATTCTATATAATTCCTGTCCCCTATGCTCCCACACACATAGCATCCTCCGTTATCAACATCCCCAACCAGAGTGGTCCATTTGTTAAAACCGATGAAACTACATTGATAGATCATTATCACCCAGAGGGTTTGGTTTACATTAGTGTTCACACTTGGTGCTATACATTCTATGGGTTGGACAAATGTAGTATGACATGTATCTACCATTATAGTATTATATGGAGTAGTTTCACTGCCCTAAAAATCCTCTTGGTCCGTCCACAATAGCCAAACTGTGGAAAGAGCCAAGATGTCCATCGACAGATGAATGGATAAAGAAGATGTGGTATATATACACAATGGAATATTATGCAGCCATCAAAAGGAATGAGATCTTGCCATTTGCAACGACATGGACGGAACTGGAGGGTGTTATGCTGAGTGAAATAAGTCAATCAGAGAAAGACATGTATCATATGACCTCACTGATATGAGGAATTCTTAATCTCAGGAACAAACTGAGGGTTGCTGGAGTGGTCGGGGGTGGGAGGGATGGGGTGGCTGGGTGATAGACATTGGGGAGGGTATGTGCTACGGTGAGCGCTGTGAATTGTGCAAGACTGTTGAATCACAGATCTGTACTTCTGAAACAAATAACGCAACATATTTTAAGAAAAAAGAAAAAGAAGAAGATAGCAGGAGAGGAAGAATGAAGGGGAGTAAGTCAGAGGGGGAGACGAACCAGGAGAAATGATGGACTCTGAAAAACAAACTGAGGGTTCTAGAGGGGAGGAGGGTGGGGGATGGGTTAGCCTGGTGATGGGTGTTAAAGAGGGCACATTCTGCATGGAGCACTGGGTGTTATGGACAAACAATGAATCATGGAACACTACACCAAAACAAATGATGTAATATATGGTGATTAACATAACAATAAAAAAATTAAAAAAAAATCCTCTTGGTCCATCTATTCATCCCTCTCCCCCATCCAGCCCTGGCAACTATGGATTTTTATAATATATTTATACTGTCTCCATAATTTTGCCCTTTCCAGAATATCATATAGTTGGAATCATACAGTGTGTAGCATTTTCAGATTGGCTTCCTTCACTTAGTAATATGCATTTAAATCTTTTCCAGGTCTTTACATAATTTGATGGCTCATCTCTTTTTAGCATTAAATAATATTCCTTTGTCTGGGTGTATGACAATTTTTTTTCCATCACCTACTGAAGAACATCTTGGTTGCTTCCAGATTTTGACAATTATGAATAAAGGTGCTCTAAACATCTGTCTTTAGGACTTTGTTGGACATAAATTTTCAATTTCTTTGAGTAAATGCCAAGAAGCATAATTGCTGGAGCATACAATAAGAGTGTTTTTTGTAAGAGACCACCATTTTGCATTCCTGCCAGCAATGAATGAGGGTTCCTGCTGCTCCACATGCATTTTGTGTTGTTAACTTGTTTTTTTTAATGTGTAAAAGAGAGGGATCTGTGTCTCAAAGGGTACTTAGACAATAACTAATGTTTTAAATAACCCAATATTTAACAGTACACATGTTAGAAATAAGTTTTTAAGCCTCAAATCTTATTTTTTAAATAAATTAGCTAATAAATCAAACAGCTTAAGTTTCTCTAAATATTTAACACCAATAAACCCTATTCAACATTTAAAATTACAATCACAAAATTAAATATATTTGATTCTCTCAAACATTTTCTTTGGTGGGGGAAAGAGGTGAAAACATTTAAGTTCTACTCTTACCCAATTTCAATTATACAATACAACTATTCAATATGATCTCTATTTACCATGTTATACATTAGATCTTCAGACTTCATTCACCTTATAGCTGAAAGTTTGTACCCTTTTTATTAACCTTTCACTATTTCCCTCACCCCTAGCCCCTGGCAACCAGTTTTCTACTCTGTTTTTATGAGTAACTTTTTTTAAAATCCACAAATACATGATACCATGCAGTATTTGTCTTTCTCTGTCTGGTTTATTTCACTGAACATCATGCCATCAATGACTATCCATGTTGTCACCAACAGCAGGATTCCCTTCGTTCTCATAGATGAATAATATTCTATTGTGTATATCTTCTTTATCCATTCATCTGTTGATGGACACTCAGGATGTTTCCCTATCTTGGCTTTTGTGAATAATGCTACAATGAACATGGGAATGCAGCTACTTCTTCAATATCCTCTTTTTTTTTTTTAAAGATTTTATTTATTTATTTGAGAGAGAGAATGAGAGATAGAGAGCACGAGAGGGAAGAAGGTCAGAGGGAGAAGCAGACTCCCTGCTGAGCAGGGAGCCCGATGTGGGACTCGATCCCGGGACTCCAGGATCATGACCTGAGCCGAAGGCAGTCGCTTAACCAACTGAGCCACCCAGGCGCCCCTCTTCAATATCCTCTTTTCATTTCCTTTGGGTAGATACACAGAAGTGAGATTGCTGGATCATATGGTAGTTCTGTTTTCCATAGGTGCTGCACCAATTTACATTCCCACCAACCCACCAAGTGCACAAGGGTTCCCTTTTTGCCATAGCCTCACCAACATTTGTTATCTCTTGTCTTTTTGTTCATATACTAACATGTGAAGTGATTATCTCAT